AAATGAGAGAAGGCTGGTTTTTAGCCCTTTTACAGGGGATTGTGTTTCTTAGGTTTAGATTTCAAAATTTTGTTCAAAAGAAGTGAACTAGATTAATTTTATTGAGCTTCTATGGAGTTTTTCAGTGCAGGCTTTATTTATAGTACCACATATGCTAGCTGAATGTTATCGAACTGGGTTTCACATAGACCACTGTAATACATTTCAAGAAGTGATAATGTCTAGTTTTTGACACCTATTTTCAGATATCACCTCTATGCTCTAAAATAAATTGAATCATTTTCAGTGTTTAGACATTTAAGGTTTCTAGAATAACAGGCCTGCCCCTGCAATAGCCACACATAACCTAATTATCCAGCCACTTTGGGTACCGTTTGAATTAAGAATTAAAGACAGAATTAGAATCTGTTACAGTAATTAGATTCTATCTTAAACCAATTGCCCTTGGCACTTCATGGTCTAGAGAAATAAAGGCTGCTGGCTTAATGTTATTCTGCTGTTAAATATAAAAACTCATTTTAATACAAAATTTAGGCTGAGAACATCAAGATTTTCAGAAGTCAGGTAAGTCACATTTCCTGTCTCAAATTGTTATGTAATACATTATGAGCTCAGTCCAAAGCGCACTGAAGTCAATGTCATTAATGTCAGTGTTGTTTGGATTAGACCCTAATGAAACTAGAGTTCACTAAAGTTCAGATTTAAACAGGAAAGCAGGAACAAAAATATTATACAATGGTGATAAAAACTTTCAGAATTTTATGACTTTGAAATGCTTGATTTCTCAACCTCATTGTTGAATTAGTTTTAATATTTAATTTCCTTGGCCAAGATTTTCATAAGTATCTAGTGATTTTGACTGCATTCATTTTTTGGGTGCCCAATTTGAGACACCTTAAAGGAATTTGGTTGTCATAGGGCAGGTGCTCATCACTTTCTGAAAATCTGCCCACATCCCCTGCCCCTACACTCAGACTTCTTTTTAAAACAGAAAAGAAAAAGGAACAAAAATCCAGAGTTATTCATCTTGCAGAGGTGATCAGAAAATGGCAGGAAGCTCCTGGCATCTTGTCTTCCTTGGCTCGTACTATAGTGACCACTCTATTGAGCTCTCCAGGGAAAGAGGAGAGTTTGTGCCCCATTACACAACTTTGTTATAATTTCACATACTACAGTTCAATTCACAAATAGCTCAGATTTTGTTTTATTCATTAAAAAACATCATTATACCACTCATCAACCAACACTGTAGCTTCCTAGCTGTCCCTCTTCAACAACCCCTCATCCTGCCCTCCAATCTAGCCTGCATCTTCCTCTCCCAAGGTAAAACAGTGTCCAAGCTATTAAAAGAGGTAGAACTACAGAACTGATATAAAGCAACTAACAATACTACTCCTGATTTCAGGTTACAGCAAGTGGAAGAGAGACACGTTGGCCCTGATTCTTTTCTGTTACTTCTACCACTCTGTACCATTCAGGTGATGCAAAGATGTTGGAATCTGGCCTTAGCTGGCCTGCTGAGAATTTCCTTGGCATGATTGAGGTCTATGTTGGCATACAACCAGCACAACCAACTCCTACACCAGCTGCACCCCCAGCATAGAGGGCCTGGCACCTGAGCTTCATCAATTCTTACCTGATGTATGGTGCCTTGGGGAGCATAGTCAGCTGGCATAAATAAGAACAGCCACTAATTTATGCCAGAGCTGTTGGTCTAATTTACATTGGGGCAGGGGCCAGGGGCCAGAGTAACTTGACAATCAGGAAGCTGTAACTGGCTCTCTGATTGGCATGACCCCCATCTAACCTGTGCTGAGCAAAGATCAGTGAAGGAGAGTATCAAGGCCTTAATCTCTTTCCTTTACCCATATACCCTACAGCTCATCCATAACAGAGATAACAAAAACTCCCCAAAGCAACAGAGGTCAACATGACCTAACTGCAAGCCACAGGAATAGAGGTACAACAGAATGACAAACAAAATGGGACCCAGAAGGCAGAGTCTCAGGGGACATGATAAATCTATTCTCTCCTGACAGAATCCTTTAATGAAGTTACATTATACTGCATTTTTAGGTCTGCCTGTGCTAATTGTACCTGTGTGGAACTGCAAAGAGTTAAATAATGTATAGACTAAGTCCTATAAGTAGCACGGGGAGCCTGAAGGTTGGTAAATGATAGATAAAACATCTCTTTGGTCATAAGCCATTTCCTAACTTTGCTGCGCAGATTTTTGCAGGCAAGGGAGTGCTGGAGGAGGACAGGGTTACATTACACTGACAATTGATTGACAGTTAGTTGCACCGAAGGGCTGAGACCATTCGGATTCTTTATGGGGCTAGCATTTTTCTTTGTCCCTTTTATGTGGCAATCTGCCATGATGCACACTCACTCTACTTTGGAGATGAGGGATAACCAGATGCCACGCTGCCGCTCCACTGGTTATTATGCAGCTTCCTCCTTCCCTCTTTCCCAGAGCACATCACATTCAAGACATATTCACCGTCTCGGGGGGCTCGAATCTTCTTCCTTCAGCTTGTCTCTCCATGCATCATGATACCACAGTACTAACAAGGCAACCGAGCACCATTCCATTCCTCGCACTGCTCAGTCTGTTAACTGGATTTTCGTATACATATATTTAATTTAACAGCTGTTATGATTAGGTACGATATGTAAATGAGATAGACAGGTTGCACCATATCATCCCAGTTGACTTCCAGGATTACATCACAGGTTTTGTTATCAAAACATAACAAAGCCAGATTCTAGAGAGACAAGGTGGGTAAGGTAGTATCTTTTGTTGGACCAATTTGTGTTGGTGAGAGAGACAAGCTTTTGAGCTACACAGAGCTCTTCTTCAAGTCTGGGAAAAGTACTTGGAGCATCATAGCTAAATACAAGGTGGAACAGATTGCTTTGCAAAGGAAGTTAGCACATATTCTAAGGGACCGTTCAAGGTGGAGTGGCCTGTTAAAACCTCTGCAGTCATAGGATCAAAAAAAGGGGGGGGGGATTAATGGGTTACAGATTGTTGTAATAAGCCATAAATCCCATGTCTCTGTTCAGTCCGTGATTTTTAGTGTCTAGTGGAGTTATGAATTTAAGCTCCCAGGCTCATCTTTTGAAAGTGTTGTGCAGGTTTCCTTTGAGGATGAGGATTGATAGGTTAGATATATAGTGATTGCTTTGTGAAAAGTGATCACCCACAGGTGATGTGATGTTTTTGTCTTTTTCGTTTTCCTGTGTGAGTTCATCCAAGAGCATAGTGATAGCCTGGTTTCACCCATATAATTGTTATTGGGGCATTTAGTGCACTGGATGAGGTACACCACAAGTTATGATAGGCATTTGTAGGACCCATGGATCTTGAAAGGTGTGCTGCGGGGGTGTTGATCATTGTAGCATTTGAGATAGGTCTGCAGGTTTTGCATCTGTTGTTCTGGCAAGGTCTGGTGCTGCTTTGAGTAGGTGTGTCCCGGTCTGTGTGGAGCTTGCTTCTGATGTTGAGTTTGGAGAGGTTGGGGTGTTGTTTGAAGGCCAGAAGAGGGGGTTCAAAGATTTCTTTCAGGATGGTGTCCTCATCGAGTATGGGTTGTAGTTTTTTGATGATACCCATATGGGTTCCAGTATGGGGTGGTAGATGACAACTAGGGGCGTGGGATAGGAGAGGATTTTATTTCTATATTGAAGCAGGTTCTCTCAGGGTATTTGGGTGGCCCGTTCCATGATGTGATCTACTTCTCTGGTGCAGTGTCTTTGTTTGGTGAAGACAAATTTTTAGTGTGTTACGGTGTATATCCCAGACTTCCTCCTCAAAGTATATTCTGTGGTATCTGAGTGCCTGGCTGTAGATAACAGATTTTTTAGTCTGTTTGGGGTCATTACTGGATCTATGAAGGTAGGTATCATGATCTTGTATATTGTTATCTGTAGGGTTCCATTGATGAAGCTGATCATGGTATCCAGGAAGTTGATGCTAGTGTGGGAGTGTTCCAGAGAGAGTTTAATGGATGGTAGATGTTTGTTGAAGTTATGGTGGAAATCTATAAGGGAGTTTAAGTCACATGTCCAGAGAATGAAAATATCATTGATATATCCCTGGCATGTCATTGGCCTCATGGTGCATTTGTCCAGAAATTCTTCTTCAAGGTGAAGAAGTTAGCATATTGGGGAGCCATCCAAGTACCGATGGCTGTTCCCATGGTTTGGACAAAGTGTTTGTTATTGAATGTACAATTGTTATGGGTGAGGATGAAATGGGATGACAATGTATTTGGGGTGGATATCTGAGGGTTGTCCAGTGTCTTGAAAATATTTGTAAATATTGGATCCTACATAGGCCTATCACAACATGTGGTGTACCTCATCCAGTGCACTAAATGCTTCAATAACAACTATGTGGGTGAAACCAGACAATCACTATACTTTTGAATGAAGTCACACAGGAAAATGATTAAAGACAAAAATGCCCTATCACCCCTCACAAAGCAATCACTCTATATCTGACTTATTAGGCCTCATCCTCAAAGGAAACCTGCACAACATTTTCAAAGGACAAGCCTGGGAGCTTAAATTCATAACTCCGCTAGACACTAAAAATCATGGACTGAACAGAAACACTGGATTTATGGCTTATTACAACAATCTGTAACACATTAATTTCCCCCCTTTTTGGTCCTATGACTGCAGAGGTTTTAACAGGCCACTCTGTCTTGAAAGGTCCCTTAGAATATGTGCTACCTACCTATGAAAAACAATCTGTTCCACCTTATATTTAGCTGTGATGCTCCAAGTACCTTTCCCAGACTTGAAGAAGAGCTCTGTGTAGCTCAAAAGCTTGTCTCTCTCTTCAACAGAAGTTGGTCCAATAAAGATATTACCTTACTCATCTTGTCTTTCTAATATCCTGGGACCAACACAGCTACAACACTGCATAAAGCAAGATTCTGTAATTTTCAGTCATGCCACACTTCATTGCTTTCTAATAAACATAGGCATCATGCTATACAGAGAATAAGGGCCATGTTATTATCAGTTATTATTAGTACACTATCATAACACAGAAAATGTGTGGATCAAATGATCATTGGTGGGAGAAAAAACTCTAGATGGTTAAATGCTACTGAATTTTTTATTTGTATAGTGCTTTCTATTACCACGATGGGTGTTTATAATTCTTGAAACAGCATGATAGAAAGGAAACAAACAAACAAAAAACCCTCCTAGAGTTTTGAAAGGGAACATAATCACTTGTGTTTCAGGGCATAAACCAACCTTTAACTAATGGGGATTGAGAAGAAGCTTTCCATGTGAGCAGTTTATTCCATAATTGCTTTCTCTGTGAAGCAACTAGTATTGGCCACCGTCAGTCAGGGTACTGGACTAGATGGATCACTGGCCTGACCCAGTCTGGCAATTCCTATGTTCCTATGAATTTGTGATTAACATAGTTTAAAATATAAACTTTTCTGTTCATTGTGTATACAGGTGTAGGTGTATAGGTGACATCCGGGATCCATGAGGAAATCCCTCACACTGCTAGGCACAAAGGCCCACTCAGCATGCAGTGGCACAGCACTGGATCCATGTGTCTCGGGCCCTTGGTGACCATGGAGGAGCAGATAGGCTTTGCCTCAAAAACAAACAAACAAACCAAAAAACAAACCAAAAAAGCAACCCTGCTGTAAACAAGTCATAGCGATAAGGTGTCAGGAACAACTGAATTACAGCAAAATCAGAGAGCTCTTTTTTCAGTCCTGATCATTTGCTCTTTCATGGTGTCAAGGTAGTAGGGGATATCAGTACTGAAAACAAGCACATCTATAGAAGAAACTTGAATACAAGAGTTTTGACTTTGTTGTGTGTTCTTTCACTGCAGAGTGCTGCTCAATATTTCTCCACTTGCCATTGTCACTGGTGATTTTTATCATATAATTACAAGATTACACCATATCTAATATTATGGCAAACAAAATCTTGCAGCCTGGGATACAATTTTAATCTGTAATATATTTGTCAAGTCTCTCAAAAACCAGGAATCTATAATTATGTGTTGAAATATTGCCTCACTTACCAACAGATATGGTCCAAACAGCAATTATTTTTGTGAACGCCTTAGTTCTGGAGTTAAAGCGGCTGTGATGGATGGGATTTCGTATGGCAATATAGCGATCCAGAGAGATGGCACAGAGGTGCATGATGGAGGCAGTGGAGAAAAGCACATCCAAATAGATCCAGACAGCACAGAGTTTTGTAGGCAGAGGCCATGTATATCCTGCAAAGGAGAAAGTTAGCATCAGCTAAGCAGAGTATAAATGGATGGATGAATTTTACTATTGCTTATAACTTTACCAAACTTAACCATTGGGGCTGAGATGTTGTTGGCCTGCTTTCTGGCTCAGGCTGATTCTATATACATAGGCAGTTCTGAGAAAGATGTTAGGGAAAAATAGGCAGTTTTGTCAACGTAAACCCATTTCTCCAGTTTTCTTTGAAGAGCTCTAGCACCTGCAGGGTTTGGAGCAAATTTAGCAGGGGGACGGTCCTGCGAGCAGAGAAGTGCATTTTGTTTTTCCTGTGAAAATACATACCGATTAGACCAAGTTATAAGAAAATTGGCATTTGCTCATGCTCAGTAGATCTTATGAGAGGCCTGCTGCTAAAATCTCTGAAAGTTCCATTTGCACTAAGCATGCTCCAGTCCCACAGTGCTAACCACACTGAAGGTCCCAGGCAGAGAACTAGAGCTCCAGATGGGGATGATGTGGAAGCTATAGCAGCAGCTACTGCTACCCCTTTGGCACAGGGCAGAGTTTCCTAAAGTGTGTGTGGCATTTGAAGGACTAGCTGGGGGTGCGTGGAACAGGGGCAGTGCAAGTTTCCCCATGTTGTCCTGATAACATGGCAGGGTGGAAGGGGAATGCAATTGGCTTAATTTTTCTGAAGTGTGTCTCAGTTTTCAGTCTGAGAAATACTGCCCAAAGAGCATAAAATGAGTGGAAGCTGAAGGGAGTATAGCTCTCCCTTCCACTAAAACCATAGGAAGAACTCCTTTGCTCTCCCTCTTTCTTGGCTGGAGCAGTGAGAGCTCCCCTTCCTGTTTCAATGTGCTCTGCCCACCAGGGAAGGTGTGCTGAGTGCTCGGGGGAGACAGTGAGTTCTAGTCTCAGCTCTTCCACTGTACACTTCATGGTCCTTATTATTAAGCAAGGCCTTCCCCAACCTGAGGAGGCAGGCAAGTATCATTCCTCCATATTACAGATGGGATAACTGAGAAGTATCACGAGGTCTGTTGTGACAGAGTTGGGAATAGAACCAAGACACCGGATTCTGTGCTGTGCTTCTCAGAAAGTGTCGTATAGAGAAATGGGGAGGAAAGTTGGTTTTAAATCACCTTTGTACCTCCCAGAGTCTGGGCTACTCTAAGAGCTGGGTCCATCCCCAACATAAATTAGAGGTCCCAGAGACTGCTCTAATTTACAGCCTTACACAGATGCCCATGGGATTCCTCACAGCTCAGAACTGCTGCAGCACAGAGCTTTGCCTCCTTCCCCCGGCATGCCCCTATGCTGAGGGCTGCAAGAATGTGAAGAGTAGGGCCAGAGGCCCAGCCCTGGAGGAATTCCCCAAGTGGCCACTCTGCATCCTTTACAGCCCCTATATACCATTCTGGGGATCAGAATTTGTCCGTAGATTTAATATGGTAGACTCAAGTTTCAGCCACTTAGCCACAATGCTTTTCTGAAGGGATGTGCCAAATTTATGTGTTTGGCTGTGCATATTCCCCTCCAGAGCCAGGAATATAACCCCAGGTTCTGGATTCCCAGTATTCCCCCGCTGTCCAGCAAACAGTTATCTAACATTGGCGAAACGTGTCACATTCTTCTCTAGTGGCTGGTCCCCATAAAGAGTAACGTCCTCTTCCTCCTACTACCAGTTACTTCTTCAGCAGAAGCAGTAAAAATCTGTGCAGTGGATTGAAAGGTCCTGGGCTCCAACTCTACTAATGATACGTGTAGAGGAACAAGTTTCCACATGAAGAAATATCCTTTGTCTTGTGTTCAAGGCACTGGACTGCTATGTAGGAGAGCTGCGTTCCGCTCCTGCTTCTGCTACAGACTTCCCAAGGGATGTTGGACAAAATGTTGTTGTAATGACTACGCACAAGGAGGTTGAGTTAAAGCTGCCTGGGCAGAATTTATTTTTGTCATTTCTTATCTTTTTAATCCTTGACTTTGCAACCTTAACATTCTTTTAATGGATTTTTTTTGTATGTATCTATAGAAAATCAGAGAAGGGCCATTTTTTTTATGAAGGTAGTTGTATAGCACAAGTACAAAAGGAACCCAATCCCTGTTTGAGTCCTGGCCGATATTGAAATACAAATAATATTGTATGTATGTTAATACACACCCACACCCACATTTCAAATTGAGGCCCAAGCCACATTCAAATCTGCATTTCGACCATTTCTCCAACACTCTAAAGTTTAGAGCGTTCATATCCAGGCTTTTGATCTGGGGTGCTAGTAATTTATATGTAGAGGGGGCATTCAGACCTAAGGGATAATTTCTGTTCCCACTTAAACCAATGGCCAAACTCTTACTGACTTAATCTGGAATTAGATGAGACTCTAAAAGTCTGAAATAGTGCTGAGCAACTCTCCAGGTGCTGAGTGCCCTGATGATGGGAGTTTAAGGTGCTGGCTCCTTATAGGATTGAGCTCTTAAAGCCAGATTATCAACGGTATTTAGGTGCCCAACTCCCATTGATTTTGAGGATCTGGGCCATAATGACTTCTGGTTTGAGTTCAGTGCAAATAGCACCAGAAGTGCTTTGGTGCCTGGGATAATATGATCACAGGTTAATGGGAGTCTGGAAACTGGCTGATTCCTGGCCTTTTGCTTCCGATAGTTGGGGTGAAGTTCTTAGTTCTGGTGGGGGAGGGGGGTTCTCTAGAATAAACGGTTTGCTGGTCATTGTGATGCTGATAATGTAGCATGCTGATGCTGCATTTCTAGGAAAGCTCATGCCAGAATGACTGAGTGATTTTTCAAAGGCATGTATCCTGGAAAAGGATCTTTCCTCTGGCAAAAGACATCACACTGCGAAGGAGAAAAAAAGAGAGGAAAAAATAGAGAAGAAGCAAAGTGAGTGTTCTTCCTCTGTCAAATGGAGGGGATGGAGTTTTTCTCCTTTGCAGTGATCATGCAGCTGCCCTCCTATTGCTGTGTGTGTATTAAGGGTGCATTTGACCATGTAAATATTGCAATTAAAATAAATGAATGGTCACAATTTAATATGGATTTCTGAGCAGAGGCAGGGATTAGCTTCCTCAGTGGCAGGGACTGGCCAGCAGGAGTCTCTGTTGCATGTGTCAGTGAACCATCCAGGGCTTGAGTCTTTCACTTATCTCACAAATCAAGCAATTACTGCGTCTCTGGCACTATTTTTCATTAGCTTCCCCACTAGCAAAGGTAATGATACTACTGATACAATCAGTCACAGACCCATGCCAATTCCAAACCTAATTTGATAATACTATTTAGGGTAGTTTGTCTAGATCACAGGGAAAGTGAAAGAGGGAGATTTGGAAATAAACTCTTATATTGCTGTTTCCTAATAAAATCTTCCTAAAGTTACAGTTTAGTGGCTGATGATTTAGCTTATTGAAACAAGCCTAGAAGCTATTTCATCTCATGTCTCTTCTCTTCTTGTATTGGGTATTTTTCTAAGTTTCGAAGGAAAATTACACAAAAATAGGAACATATTTTCATTTAACACTTAGGCTGCTGCTTTTCAACCTTCTCTGCTGTGTAACAGAGGCTGCTGAGGATTTTGGTCAAAATAACAAACTTCCGTTACCAATCTCAATAAACTGTGTCACAATTCAATTTACACTTTCAAATTACTCATTAGAATAGATAGATAAAGATCTTGATATTTGATTATTAATTTGTAAATGTTACTAACAATTGGGCACAATTAAGTCTATCTACTTTTCAGCCTCCTTCAAAACACTTATTCCAACATTTCATGGTAGCTAATGAAATTTAAAGGTAGACATGTAAATAAGGATCTCAGTGGAAAGATAATTATTTAGAATTGCAATGCTTGATTAAAAAAAATGAAATAAAATAAAAAATAGAGGCAGGCTATTTTAACTCTGAGGGCACCAAGTCATTAATGCTTCTGTGCCTATTTGCAGAGCAAAGTAATTGACAGGACATTACTTACTTATTAGTAACACTGAAAACTATGCGTCAAAGATAAAACTGATACAACAGAAAGGACACAATATCTGATAGAAATTATAAGACAATTCCATCAGAATCAAAGTGGCAAATTGACATTTTGGACTGTGTTTAAAATGTCCATACTTAAAAATTAAAACTAAATAAACATGTAAATATTGCATCTGTTCTTTACATACATTTACCCCTTATAGTTATTTTTCACCTTGCACAGGGAAGTGGCAAGAATATACCTTAAAACTAGCCTGTATTTACATTTTCCTTATCAAGCTGAAATAATAACAGCGTGTGCATGCAATTTTTAAAAAGCTACTCAATGTATGCAATAGGTTAGACAGGTGATACTCACCATACAGTATGGTTAACATTGACACAGGCATGACAAGGAAACCCAACAGCATATCAGCTATTGCAAGTGACATTAGAAAATAATTAGTGGCATTCTGTAGCTTTTTCTCCAGTGACACAGCCATGATAACAAGAATATTTCCAGCAATGGTTAGAACAATCACTATAACTGTCAGCAGAGCTGGCCAGTTTTTCTCTGGAAGATGAAATAGTGATGAATAACACGGCGGAGTCAGGCTACCTTCACATGAAAGATTAGTTAGGTTTTCGGAGTCCACAGTCAAGTTAAACAGATGAGATGCGTTAACCTCTCCAGGCACAAAAACATTTTTGTAGAGTCTTCGCTCATGATTTAATTGGATTAAGGAGTTTGCAGTTGGGTTCTCCTCGTCACAAAGAATATCCATTGCTAAATCTGAAACCGGGGAGGATGTACAGTGAAAAAACAGAAAGTTATAACCCTTTGTCACCATCAGGCTTTATATTCCTCTGTTCAAAGCTGATGCTGGTGGAAAGAAGGGACTCTTTTTTTGTTGATTGTTTTTTCATCATTAATATGACTGAGAAAACTGATGGAGTTATTCTGGTCGCTCAAATACTTTTGTTTTTAGTTTCATGTAGTCCAATATCAGCATCTGTTAAAAATCCAGTAGAAAAGCAAAACTAACTTACAGGCTAGAAAATGTGGACTTGAGGCTTCAGAGAGCAAAAACATTGGCCAAAAAACTTTTGCAACCACCAGGACTCCCTTCTGTAGCTACATCCTATTGCTATTGGTAACTGTAATCACACAGTTTTAAACACAGCAGTATGAAAATAGCTTGCCATACAAAACAGCAAAGCTCTCTGTGCTCTGCATTAAGAAAGTTGATTAAAGATTCCATTCAGCATCTTACTCTCACAATAATTAGATATGCTTTTATTTATAGTTCATCTTCAATGTTATGGCTGATAGTCTCTGTCTTCTGTCATATTACAATATCATTTTAAGTCTCATACCAAAATTACAAGTAATGTTCCATATTGATTTTAATATGTAATGTAATGATTACTTTTTAGCCCAGCATGGCTTCAAAATAGAAATAAAATGACTAAGTACTACAAGTATAAAAAAAAATACAAGATAAGGTAAGACTTACATTGTACTTCAGAGCCCACACTCAAAGTGCATTAGAGTCACTTTGTACCCTGCTTTATTGTATCCTTCACTGTGTTATCCACTTTTGTGTCCTTTCTCTTCAGTCTCTACAAAAATGATTGTATTTTGATTACAGTTTTGTTGACTTCTACACTGTACATTAGAGTGAAGCCAGTTCCTGTGCTGCGCGTCTTGTTCCTTTCTTCTGAGAGATGGGCAGCTTGCTGTCTCTTTCCTTGTGCTTTCCCCCCCTCCCTCCCCAAAGGCAAACTACATTTAAAATAATAATAATATTAGAGCCCTTCTCAAAGTGACACAAAAGAAATCACACCAATAGAAGGAGCAGTCTCCACAAAGGGATTACTGATTTCAACAGGAATGTAATTTCTTGCTCACTGCCTTGTTCAGTTTGTCAGACCTCCCACTAGCTAGATGTCATAAACTGCAAGGTAGCAACAGCAAAGGAGGGCAGACCAAATAGGGTCTTTTTTTAATAAATACCAGCTTTTTCATTTTATCATTTGGAGGGCTTAGTTTAAAAAAAATACATTTTTCATTTGTATAGGATGCTGGGTAAAGCAGCTGCATGTGTTGATAATATTTTATAGGGTGAAGTTTTTAGGAAGGCAATAAATAAGTCTTGTAATGGTACATGCTGGTAAAATTGTAAACATACAGCTTTTTCAATCCTAAAGGTTGCAGCTTTTATGCTAACCCTAAACTGAATTAGTAACATTTAGATTTTTATAATTTTATTTCTGGGTCTTCACTGATGTCATAACCAACTTGCCAACAGATATTTATTATATATATGTAATATATATATCTTGATCATAAATATAATACACATAACATATATATCCTGATGACAACACTGCATATATACCCTGATGTCATTTTTATTTGTCAAGAGCTGGAAGCTACAATTAACCTCAATAATCTGTTTGAAAGAAAAGCATCCCAAGTGAAGTAATCCAATCAGGTAAACACTGTCCAGATTAAATAGTGAAAATAAATGCTCTTCCAGGATTACGGCCTATTCCTTTGTACCGTTTGTACCAGGATGCCTGTGGGGAAACTAGCTAACTGATAATGAGACGTTTGAGGGTAACTGAGAATAATTTATGTGTTATGTTGAAAATAAAACAAGCTACCTATTTGATGTGGCCAATTACCACCTTACTAATGTATAGCATCCCTTCCCCCCTACTCATAGACTATCAGGGTTGGAAGGGACCTCAGGAGGTCATCTAGTCCAACCCCCTGCTCAAAGCAGGACCAATCCCCAGACAGATTTTTGCCCCAGATCCCTAAATGGCCCCCTCAAGGATTAAACTCACAGCTCTGGGTGTAGCAAGCCAATGCTCAAACCAGTGTGTGTGTGTGTGTGTGTGTGTGTTTTGAGCTCTTCCAGCCTTCTTCTATCTAGGTTCTTATATGGCCCTCATCACCATAGTATGTGAGTACCTTACAATCACTGGTCAATTTTATCCTCACAGCACTCCATTTTCCAGAAGGGAGACTGAGGCACAGAGTAGATTAAGTGTTTTGTTCAAGGTTGCACAAGAAGCCTGTAGCTGAGTCCAGCTTTGCACTCAGTTCTTCTAAGTCATATCCCAGTACTCTAGCCCCAAGACAATCCCTCATTCCCCCTTCCCTGTTTGGAAGTGCCACTGGAAACAGATTATGCATCATTATTTTGTGTTTATCTAAAGATAACTTAGATTATTTATCTAAAGACCTCTGACTTCCTTTGCATGTGTTAAAATCATGGGAACTGATCCAATGAGGCAATAGGGAGCCTTTAAGCCATGTGGTGCAGCGGCAGCACCCTCAGTTCTAGCACCTATGCCTCCACTCAGCTAAAAGTAGAGCACTTCCTGCTTTAAATCTGTGTAACAAACTTACAGTATTGACTACAGCTGCAAAGCCCATCTGTTTTCTTTGATATTTAGGTCTGGTGTGGGTGGCATTTGGAGGATTTTTTTTTACCTTGATCTGGGTTGTTACTAGTTGGCATTTATTATTATTTTTATTAGTGATTGTTGGAGCAGTTTATTCCAACTGTTGTGGAGGCCTGATAGCTGTGAATGGTTGTTTAAGAGATGGGGGAAAGACGACTGCTGCAGAGGAGCACGTGGATCGGACAGAGACTTCTCTTAGAGGAGAGTCTATTGATAGAGATTCTCTAGGTTTTAGTCAGGAGGAGAGGATGAAAGAGGATAATCTAGGGGTCAGATCAGACAAGAAACATTCACATAAAAAAGAATCGGACACATCAGAAAAGGGCAGACAACTAAACAGTGACAATTTTTTAAAGTGCTTGTATATAAATGCTAGAAGTCTAAATAATAAGATGGGTGAACTATAGTGATTCGTGATAAAGGAGGATATTAATATAATAGGCATCACAGAAACCTGGTGGACTGAGGACAATCAATGGGACACAATCATTCCAGGGTACAAAATATATTGGAAGGACAGAACAGGTCGTGGGGGGGGGGTGGCAATATATGTGAAAGAAAATGTAGAATCAACTGAAGTAAAAATCTTAAGTGAATCCACATGTTCCATTGAATCTCTATGGATAGTAATTTCATGCTCTAACAAGAATATAACATTAGGGATCTATTATCAACCACCTGATCAAGACAGTGATAGTGATGATGAAATGCTAAGGGAAATTAGAGAGGCTATCAAAATTAAGAATTCAATAATAGTGGGGGATTTCAATTATCCCCATATTGACTGGGAACATGTCACCTCAGGATGAAATGCAGAGACAAAAATTCTCGATACTTTAAATGACTGCTTCTTGGAGCAGCTGGTACAGAAACCCACAAGGGAAGAGACAACTCTCGATTTAGTCCTGAGTGGAGTGCAGGATCTGGTCCAAGAGGTAACTAGAACAGGACCGCTTGGAAATAGTGACCATAATCTAAAAACATTTAACATCCCTGTGGTGGGAAGAACACCTCAACAGCCCAAGACTGTGGCATTTAATTTCAGAAAGGGGAACTATGCAAAAATGTGGGAGTTAGTTAAACAGAAATTAAAAGGTACAGTGACTAAAGTGAAATCCCTGCAAGCTGCATGGATGCTTTTTAAAGACACCATAATAGAGGTCCAACTTAAATGTATACCCCAAATTAAAAAACACAGTAAAAGAACTAAAAAAGAGCCACAGTGGCTTAACAACCATGTAAAAGAAGCAGTGAGAGATAAAAAGACTTCCTTTAAAAAGCGGAAGTCAAATCCTAGTGAGGTAAATAGACAGGAACACAAATACTGCCTAATTAAGTGTAAAAATGTAATAAGAAAAGCCAAAGAGGAATTTGAAGAACGGCTAGCCAAAAACTCCAAAGGTAATAACAAAATGTTTTTTAAGTACATCAGAAGCAGGAAGCCTGCTAAACAACCAGTGGGGCCCCTGGATGATCGAGATACAAAAGGAGCGCTTAAAGACGATAAAGTCATTGCGGAGAAACTAAATGGATTCTTTGCTTCAGTCTTCACGGCTGAGGATGTTAGGGAGATTCCCAAACCTGAGCCGGCTTTTGTAGGTGACAAATCGGAGGAATTGTCACAGATTGAAGTGTCACTAGAGGAGATTTTGGAATTAATTGATAAACTTAACAGTAACAAGTCACCGGGACCAGATGGCATTCACCTAAGAGTTCTGAAAGAACTCAAATGTGAAGTTGCTGAACTATTAACTAAGGTTTGTAACCTGTCCTTTAAATCGGCTTCTGTACCCAATGACTGGAAGATAGCTAGTGTAATGCCAATATTTAAAAAAGGCTCCAGAGGTGATCCCAGCAATTACAGACCGGTAAGTCTAACGTCAGTACCGGGCAAATTAGTTGAAACAATAGTAAAGAATAAAATTGTCAGACACATAGAAGAACATAAATTGTTGGGCAAAAGTCAACATAGTTTCTGTAAAGGGAAATCGTGTCTTACTAATTTATTAGAGTTCTTTGAAGGGGTCAACAAACATGTGGACAAAGGGGATCCAGTGGACATAGTGTACTTAGATTTCCAGAAAGCCTTTGACAAGGTCCCTCACCAAGGCTCTTACATTGTCATGGGATAAGAGGGAAGGTCCTTTCATGGATTGAGAACTGGTTAAAAGACAGGGAACAAAGGATAGGAATAAATGCTAAATTCTCAGACTGGAGATGGGTAACAAGTGGTGTCCCCCGAGGGTCAGTCCTAGGACCAATCCTATTCAACTTATTCATAAATGATCTGGAGAAAGGGGTAAAAAGTGAGGTGGCAAAGTTTGCAGATGATACTAAACTGCTCAAGATAGTTAAGACCAAAGCAGATTGTGAAGAACTTCAAAAAGATCCCACAAAACTAAGTAATTGGGCAACAAAATGGCAAATGAAATTTAATGTGGATAAATGTAAAGTAATGCACACTGGAAAAAATAACCCCAACTATACATACAATATGATGGGGGCTAATTTAGCTACAACGAATCAGGAAAAAGATCTTGGAGTCATCGTGGATAGTTCTCTGAAGACATCCACGCAGTGTGCAGCAGCAGTCAAAAATGCAAACAGGATGTTAGGAATCATTAAAAAGGGGATAGAAAATAAGATGGAAAGTATCTTATTGCCCTTGTATAAATCCATGGTACGCCCACATCTTGAATACTGCGTACAGATGTGGTGGTCTCATCTCAAAAAAGATATACTGGCATTAGAAAAGGTTCTGAGAAGGGCAACTAAAATGATTAGGGGTTTGGAATGGGTCCCATATGAGGAGAGATTAAAGAGACTAGGACTTTTTAGTTTGGAAAAGAGGAGATGAAGGGGGGATATGATAGAGGTATATAAAATCATGAGTGATATAGAGAAATTAAATAAGGAAAAGTTATTTACTTGTTCCCATAATACAAGAACTAGGGGGCACCAAATGAAATTAATGGGCAGCAGGTTTAAAACAAATAAAAGGAAGTTCTC